TCTGCATGCTTAGGCGGGAGCTCGAAGAGGAGCGGAGACACGGCAAGTCGTGAGGGCTGGGCAATTCAGAGGTGGATGCAGACACCAGGGGCGTGGGCCCTTCTTCACCGACGGGACCTTCGCGTCGACCTGGATTTTAATTTATTCCTGCTTCGGAGACTCGTTCTCCTTGTAATTTTTATTTTTGAAATTAAACCGGCGGCCACTTTGGCCTGCCCTTTTTTTTTTAAGTAATGCGCTTTTGTCTTATTTCGCCTACCTTCATATTTTACACTTTTTGCGTCTTATTTTGTATCGTGGATCTGGAGTCTCGGTTTTGGAGCCAATATGAGCAATGGTCCCGAGATCCTGAGACGGTTGAGCAGAACCGTAGCCTGCTCGACCCGCGCGCCCTGCATAGCTATCTTTTAACGCTTTGCTTCCCATGGAACGTTCGCCGGTGATCCTCCCTCCTTCTAGCGCCAACTGTTCGGGAGAAAATTTTGGGATGCCACGTGGGGGTCGTGATTCGTCGGGGGTGGAGCTGGGTGTTCGATTTTCGTCCTCTAGGGGGAAAGGCGCGTTCTGGGATGGAAGCTTGCTGTCGCGGGGTGAAGGGGAGTTCGCCATATTCAACCCCTGTAAACACTTAAACAAATGTCAGGCGAGCCTTTGGAGGGACCGAAATGGGATTTCCCTCTCAAAGGTTCTCCGACACCCAAGTCAGTAAGCATCCTACCAGGATCAGGTACTCGGGAGGGGAGTTTTCTAAGGGTTAGTCGTGAGGAGACTCGTTCGAGGATCGAGACTCCTGTCTGGTTTAGGGTGTTTCAGGGGGGATTCCTATTTGTCAAAGGGGGAAGGAAGCGGATATAAAGGCGAGGTTCCGAGTTAGGGGTAACATAACCTGATCGGAATTCACCCGAGAGGAACATGAGGTTCGCCCGTGATCTTACGGCATGGCCGGGAACATTCTCTCGGATATCGGAAAGTAGGTCTTACCGATCGCCCTGGTCACCTCCCCCCTCTCCTCGAAAGTTCTCATTTCATTTATACTCGTCATCCTCTCATCCTGTCCCTTCCAAGCCGCGCAACCGGGGAGCAGGTGGGAGTAATCATTCTGGCGTGTTAGGGGAAGCCCGCCAATTGTCCTTGTACAGTATGCGGGAGTGGGTTAGCCGAGCTAGCCTGGCGTGTCTCAGCACCCGATATAGCTTAGGTCCACGTGGCGAGTTCTCATTCGATCCGGTAAAATGGGTCCTAACACGCGTATTATTACTTAGTGGACAATCTTTTATTTCTGTAAAATAAAAATAGGTTGGAGAGAAATTCACCTATATTTTATAGAAAAAATAGAAAAATACATCCGAGATAATTTTAATGTTTAATATATTATTCAATGATTAGAAAAAAAAAGAAATTTTAGTAAAAGAAACCGAAAAAATAGAGAATAATTTTGATTAATTTATGTTTTTATTCAAAATATTTGAAAATATTATTTTACACATATTAATTCTTTTATGCATATAGTTTTGCCAACATATTAAAATATTATTTCATGAATCAAGTTTTTTATATGTTGTTATCCATTATATTTTATATTAACACAAATCTCAAAGTTAGGAACAGACGAACTCTTAATTTTTAATATAACAACTATATTAAATCTATTATCTTACATCTGAAATCATACACACATATAAGTTTAGGTTCCAACTTGTTTAAATCATGCAGTTACAGCTGTGGGTGTGAGAGTTTGTAGAAACGGGTGATTGCGGTTAACAGCATTGCTAAGAGATTTGTGTGACTGGTACAACGGTTAGAAGTGGGTGTTTTTCGGGAGCAAATTTTGGGATGCCACGTGGGGCGGTGTGATTCTTCCAGGGGGGTGGGGGAGCTGTGTCTCCGAGTTTCGTCCTCTTGGAGGAAAGACGACGAGTCGTTCCAGGGCGGAAGCCTGCGTGCGTCCTAGTGACGGGGTGGTCATAACATGATGTTCTGCAAACATGGGAACAAGTGGTCAATCAGGCCTTCGGGAATACCAAAAGGGGGTTTCCCTCCCGAAGGTTCTCCAACGTCCAAGTTAATGCACGCCCTATTGGGAACAAATACTCAGAAAGGGTATTTCTACGGGTTAGGAGTGAGAGGTCTCGTCCGGGGATCGAGATGTCTGTTTGCTTATAGTGTTTTGGAAGGTATTTCATGTGGAGAGGAGAAGATGTAGCTAGTATTAAAGCAGGGTTCCAGGTAAAAAAAGACTTATCCTAAAAGACATTCACCCGGAGAGAGTAGGAAATTCTCCCGTGGTTATGCTGCTTGCCGGGGTGGACCGACTCGGATTTAGTTGATTGCCTCCTCCTTGAGAGGGGTTCTCTCAGATCTGTTCTCCTCCGCTTCCTTGAGAGGAGTTTTCTCAGATCCCCCTTTTTTCCCCTCCCCTCTCTTATGGTGATCTTTCTCCTTATATATTGTTGATCCTCATGTTCTATCTTTTCCGTTCGGCGTGCTAGGGGAGCAGGTGACTGTAATGATTCTAGCATGTTTGGGGAAGCTCGCCAACTGCCCGGGAACAGTGCACGGAAGTGGTTCGGCTGAGCTAGTGTGGCGTGTGCCAGCGTCTAGTACAGTTTAAGATCCACGTGTCGAATCCTCTTTGGGCCAGGTAAAATCAATCCTAACGGGTGCATTTGTGGAATACTTACGACTGGTCGACTTGTGTTTGCAGTAGCGTTAAAAATAAATAATAATATAAACACAATATATTATTAATAAATAAACTATATAATTATAAGAAATATAAAAATATTAATTTAAAATTAATATATGTATAATACTTACATTTCTGGATGGAAAGTAATGATTTTTATTAAGAAAATTAATTTTTATAGGACTAAAATTAGATTAATTTAACTTTAGTTGTTAGATATATGTGTATTAGTGATGAAAAGAATATTTATCAATAAAATTTTGTTTATAAATTTTCTAAATATAGAGTTATGATAGGTTATTAGTGAATATTAACTAAAAAATATTATTTTTTATATATATTTTGTAATTATAATATTTAAATTTTTTCTAAAGATTATATAATATATACTATCATGATTTTAAATAAATTTTACTGTGTATCTATAAATGCCAGCAATTGCAAACACTTGTGGGAATAAGGTTTTAATTTTGAAGGATCTACAACAATTCAAAGTGGTAGAATTCAAAGTGGTAGAAGCGTTTGTATTGATAGTTGTCAAACATTAACAACTGATATCACCTATAAAAATTGTGTTTGCGGATATTAACGGGAGATTCAATCAAACTCGACAATTTTAAATTCTATTAATCATATAAAACTATTTTATGTATTTATATATTAATCATATATACAAATCAATTATTTATTTATTATAAATGATAAATTTAAATATTATAATTTATTTATTTTTATTAATAAATTATGTGTGGATCAACTTCCTAATTTAATTATTAAATTTAATAGAATGTGACTGCATTTTGCCTTTTCTCTTTCCAGTTGTTGTTACAGCATTTTTTCTCAACAAATAAAGATCCTTTTTTTTCAGCAAGATATGACCCAGCTTTTTTTCCTACCTAGATATTTAGAAATATATATGTATATATAGAAATATTATATACATAGAAATATTATTCAATAGAATTCTGCTGTCAAAAATTCAATACATATCCATATTTCAATCATGGTCAAATCTATTTTTAATTCTTTCAAGATTTTCTGGTCAAACCATAACGTACCATTGCACTATAAAAAGCGATGAAAAATTAGTTTAACTTCATCACTAAAAGCAAAAAAAATATAACATTCTTCTTTACAGAATGAAGAACGTTTCCTTTCGAGTTTTGTTATTGGTTTCTCTTCTTGTGCTTATCTTTCGTAAGTAAATGTACTTTCCAGTCTGTAGTTATTTTTTGGTTTCTCTTCTTGTTCTTATCTTTCATATGTAAATTTACTTTCCAGTCTGTAGTTGTAAACACTCTTCATTTTGTAGTTTAATACATGAACGATGTGAACATTTCTATAACCAAATAGAAAATAAGAAACTGAAAATTTATGCAATTGAAATCCATGTGTTAGGTTACAAGAAAATAAGTTTTCCATAGTCCTTTTGTTACAAACTAAGATTTGAAATCTTGCTCCAAATGGGAAACCTTGCCAGGGATGAATTATATTCTAAGATCCGATATCTTAGTTTTATTTGAGATGGATCCTTTTTAATCATAAATAGGGCGACAGCATAGTGTGGTGGAAAATATCTCATTATATAGCATCTCACATCTCGTATATTTTGTTTACCTGTGATATATAGAGAGGAGATGCTAGAAAATATTTGAAACCTACTGATGTTAATCTTATAATTATATCACATTTGCAGGACAAAATCTTGTGTATGGTAGGACATTGGATACAAATACAGTATTGGCCACAAGTGGAGTTGATGTTGATGAAAAAGGTGCCATGGATACAATTAAAGTCGACGTGAATGCTTTCGATCCTTGTCATCCATGGAGTGCATATTGCAAGAAACCTTGTAATCCAGAGAATCCAAATTGCTGAAAGAAATTAATAAGGCGTTGATGAAGAGGAGGGGGAGGGAATATAGTAATGGTGGCGATGGAAATTGAAATTATAAAACATGTGAATGTAATATATATCTTATTTATTAAATAATTAAACGTATTGTTTTGATGGCTCTATCTACTAATTCAGCAACCGTAGAATTTAGATATTTTATATTTATTAATTTATCTATATAGTAATAACTTTACATACTGGTAATCTCAATTATTTTTTTCCCAAAATTTTAAAATCTCGAAGTACAATTTTGTATAGAATATAAGAAGAAGAAAAAAAATTAGTTACGACGAAAATTAAGTTTTAAACAGTTTTACATAGAAAACTAAATACCCAAAAATTATATTTTAGACAATTTTCTAGATAAGAACATATTGGACTTAAATGGTACGTAGCATAACGAAAGGTAGCGTAACTAGCGTTCATGGGTTTTAAAGTTCTCTTCGATATATTATAAAATTAATAAGTGGTCAGACAAAAACGTTTCAGAAGAAACTGAGTAGTAAATCAGAACAAAAAAAAGTCGAATCACGCAATAATCAAACTCCCAGAAATATCCCACACACAAAGACGAAGCAATTTACAAACTTTGGCTGCTTTGTCTTAAATCTGAATCGTCCTTTTGCGTAATCAATAACCGTTTTCTTCTTCACCCACTCATCTTCTTTCTTCTTCTCTCTCTCCCAAGATTTTTTCTGGTAACCTTTGACTTTCAGTGGACAGAAAAAAAAAACCGATCTTGAATTAAATATTAATGCCATTTCCTCGGAAATTTTCTTGAATTTCAGCTTGTGGGTCTCCATTCTGGGGATTTCCTGAAGATGGGTAACAAATTTATCTGTATGAAGAAGAAAGATGTTATCATTAGAAGTAGTGGAGGAGATGGATCTAGAAGCAAGAGAGTAAACCGTTCTCAAAGGAAATTGCTTGGTGATGAAGAGATGTTGCATCGACGAGCTTTGTCAATGGCGATTCATCAAGCTCAGCTTTCTCAGAGATTCGATGGATCCATGTCTAGACGGGTCGGGTCTACTAGCTCTAAAATACGCACACTCTCTGACCCATTTTCCAATAACAAGCAGGTCAACACTTAAACTTTATAATAATCAATAATCATAAAGGTTTTGGAATTTCGAATTTTGACTAGGTCTTTTTCTTTTGTTTATCTCTAGAAGATCTCTTATTGGAAGTGAAAGCTGCTTTTTGATGATTGTTGTTAAACTTTTTCAGACATGAAGGCAAAAACTTTATAGAAGTCAATAACTTGAAGAGAGTGTTCGAAAGTGTTAAGAGATCAAATTTTGATACTGACATTAGGTTGGGACCATAATAAGTGTTATCTTTGAAGAACTCTACTTTCTCTGATTGTTCTCAAAAGTTCTGTAGTGGCTTTGCCTTTTTAAAAATTGTATATAGTTGTTCTCATATTATTACTTTAGAACAAAGAATGAGACAAGAAGCTTCTTTTTGGTTATTACACTAAGTTTATAGCAAGTACAAAGAGACCTTTGTTTGAAAAATCAAGTTTTTCGAAATTGAAAGCAATTTTTTTTTATGAGAATCAAGTTCTTTGGAAAATTGAAAGCACAAAACTAGGATTTTGTTAATGATTGGTCCTGTCACATGTCAATGTCACTGCTCTGTAATTAACACTTCCTGTTGCTATGAGAAACCAAGCCTCTAGAGATCAAAACACTTTTTTTTTTATGTTTTATTACAGTAAGTTCTTACCAAAAAGAAAAGCAGAGAACTTTGTTTAAAAATCAAGTTTTTCGAAATCGAAAGCATATAACTTTGTTTCAAAATCAATATCTTTGGGAATTTTGAAAGCAGAGAACTTTGTTCGATTCAAAAAGTTAAGATTTTGTTCATGATTGGTTTTATCACACATCAATGTCACTGCTCTGTAATTAAACACTTTCTGTTGCTATGAGAAACCAAGTCTCTAGAGATCAAAAAACACTTCTTTAAGTTCTAACTAATGCTATTATCTTTTCAGGTATCTGATCTTCTGGAGAGCTTGAAGGTTAAGAAATTCATTCTTGTACATGGTGAAGGGTTTGGGTCATGGTGTTGGTACAAAACTATTGCTTCATTGGAAGAGTCAGGACTATCTCCTGTTACAGTTGACCTCGCTGGCTCTGGATTTAATATGACCGACGCAAATAGTGTTTCCACTTTAGAAGAATACTCAAGACCGTTGATCGTGCTACTTCAAAGTCTTCCCGAGGAAGAAAAGGTTAGAGATTGCTCGCTTGTTAACTGTAGATTGTTAGGTCTATGTTAAAACTTGGAAGGAAGTGTCAGTGTTATTATATATAAACGAATTGTGACAGCTTTTAAATCAAGTTAGGCTATATATTTGTGGATAATAAGTTTTGGATATTGTAAGATCTAATGTTTGGTTTCTTGGGAATGGCATTGGGTCTAGGTGATTTCCATTTGAGTTTCCTCTGCATTCTTAAGAGATTATTGTATGGAAGGTTTACAATTTTCATGTGAATATTTAAAGATTCTTGTAATGAGTGTGGATTGTTGCAGGTAATTCTGGTGGGTCACAGTACTGGAGGTGCATGTGTTTCGTATGCATTAGAGCTGTTTCCAGAGAAAATCTCAAAAGCTATATTCATTTGTGCCACTATGGTTTCTGATGGACAAAGACCCTTTGATGTCTTTGCTGATGAGGTAATAACACTTTCACACATGTTTCTTGAGTGTATTTTGATCTCTTAATCTCCAATATCACATATGTTTCTTGAATATTCTGTGTTTGCCCTCACACTCTGAGATTTTGTCTCTATCGCAGCTTGGTTCTGCAGAGAGGTTCATGAAAGAGTCACAGTTCTTGATCTATGGAAACGGAAAGGACAAGCCTGCAACAGGATTCATGTTCGAGAAGCAACACATGAAAAGCTTGTACTTCAATCAATCACCCAATAAGGTACACACTTTCAAGAACCAATCTTAAGTGATACATGAAATGAAATTAATCAACTAACATAGTAAAAATATTTATTGAGTGTGTAAGAAAATTGATGTGCAGTGTTATGTTTTCAAATTGTAATTTTTTGTACTTTTTCGTCAAAACGGTTGTTGATTTTTGTTTGTCTAACAGTGGTTATTGTCATTTGTCATGTTCATATATAAAAAGATACATAAAAGGAAAGGAAAATAATTTAGACAAAATTTATAAATATGCAGTATTTAATATTTATCTATTACTAATAAAAGTTGATGCTAAATGCCTCTAAGGGTATCTACGTAGGATTTAAAGATTCAATTCTATTGGTACACATCATCATTATTTTTAGTTAATTATATATTTTATATTAAAATTAATTAATTTGTTTTAGTTGTTAATAAGGAAAATTTCTAAATTTTAATTAATTTTGTTTTTGTTGTTATTAGGAAAGTTTCTAAATTTTAAGTTAGTTATTAATAAAAAAGAGTTTTAAAAATAGATCTTATTTTTCTACTAACAATAAAAAGGTAAATTAACATATAAATAGATTATGAAAGAAAAATTATATATATTGAACAAAATTATTAAAAACTGTATTTAAGACCATAATTAAATTATCTTAAAATTTTAATCACGACAAACAATTAAAATTTGAACTGCTAACTTAAAATATATTAGTTGTGGTTCGTGTTGATGTCTTAGGCCAATGAGAGCGTCCACATATGACATATATACTCAATCTGATTAGTCTATATCAGCGTTTTTCATTAAACATAAAAAATAAAAAAAAATATTATTAATAATTTAAATAAATTAAAACATAAAAAATATAAATTATCACTATAGAATAAAAAATTAAGATATTTTTTTAACTAAATAAAATAAATTTATGTCAAAAGCCTAAATCTATTGTGAAAATAAAATGAAAACTCATTGTCACAAAAACAAAATTAACAAAAACAAATATGTAAATCAATAACGAAAAAGTTAAATTAAAAAAAATTATATTTTAAATGAGTAATTTATTTAGAAACAAATATTAAGATTAAATTTTCATATAAATATATAAAATTGTTATTTAAAAATATCAATACTACCAAAACAAAAATTCATCTTAAATTATCAAAAATGAAAGTCATCTAAAACTTATAATTTTTGGAGAAATATTTTAAAAATTAACACAAAAATAACAAACCAAAAATGATACTTTATGATAATTACTGAAGAAAGCAATATAAAAAAATGTTTAACTAACAAAAACCAAAACATAAATTATTTCTTACAACATGTCAATACAATTAAAATGAAAGTCCATATCGAGAAAGTTAAATTAACAAAAAAAAAGAGGAAATTAACTTAATATCCATGTTATTTATTTTACAAAATCAATATAAACAGAATAAGTAAGAGAATAAAAAAACTTAAATAATACTAAAAAATTTAACTAACAAAAATAATATAAATATTTAAGCTAATTATTTAAGAAATCAATATTAAGAAATTAATTAACTAAAAACTAAAACGAAAATTAAGTTTACAAAATATTATTTTTTAAAAAATACTTAAAAATATATTGACTTGATATCTGACTAACTATTTAAAAAAATTCATATAAAAATATTTAACTAACAAAAAGTTTATTTAAGTTCAAAATATAATAAGTAATAAAGTCTGATTTGTATACATATTTACTCCTTATAACTTAGTCAACATGAACAACACTTGAGCAACATCCTCTAAAATTTTATTTAAATAATATAATATGACAAAGTTATGAATCAAATTCAAATGGGAATATATGAAGATAAAATATTCAAATCAAAACATAAATAAACACACAAAAGATAAAAAAATAAACAGTGTTAATGTGAAGTCTCAACATCATCTTACATGTTTAAAAATAAATATTAGCAAATAGTTGACTGCAAATAAAACAGATCTTATAAACTGAATAGAGATATAACCTAAAATTCGTAGAAGATCTGGTGGAAAAGCAAAAAGCAGCTTTACACTATTAGTGTAGCTTACTTACGAAATTTAAATCTGAATCAATATATATCATATATTATATATGTATATGTACACAACATTAGTGAAATATTTAGTAAAGAAACTAAATATTTAAACATACAAACCTTTTTAAAAAAAAGAACCATAGAAATCCTAGGGATACAAAACAAAACACCAAAAATTTAGTAAGGAAATCATTTTCTAAATCAAACATATGCACATCAAAGTTGGATAATTCGTTAGGTGTCAGTACTATGATTTTATTTAATAAGATTTATAATTTTATAAACAAAAATAAGAAATACTACATATTATGTTTTAATTTTTTATATAAAAGAAAATTTCTACAAATATATTATAGTTTTGATAATTTAAAAGATATTAGCCAAAAAATTAAACTAAATTATTGATACAGACTCGCGCGTAGCACGAGTTAAAAACCTAGTATGTTCAAAACTTCACTAGGAGCTAGTCGGGCGGTCGAGATTGACCTAGTACCTACCAAAAAAATGAGGGATTGATCAAAAATAATTTGAGAACATTTTTTTTACGGCAATTAAATGGGAACTAGTTTTTAGGTTTCTTAGTTTTTAATATATGTTTTTAACATGTTAATACATTAAAATGTGTCTAAAATTACTTTTAAAATAACACACACAAATAAATTTTGACTTCTCCTATTTTATTTTTTGTGTTTAACCTTCAAATTTAAGAAAATCATAATTTTATTTGGTCTTGTTAAAAATATAAAATAATTGTATGACATTTGGAAGACTGTTTTATAAAGTAAAAAACAGAAAAAAATCATTAGATCAAACATCTCCATATTTACAGTAAAAAATAGAGTAAGCCATAAAAGATGTTTTAATAAAATACAAATAGAGTAAGCCATAAAAATTTGATCAGAATAGTTGATTTTCATGTGATTTCGGCTTATTTGGTTTCTTTTGTTGCATTTTGATTTGATTCCGGTCCGGTTTTTATAGCTAGGCCTAAATCTAAATTCAACCTTTATGTGATTATCTTTTAAACACATTTTCAGGACATCGCATTGTCGATGATCTCAATGCGACCTGTACCATTGGGTCCTATGATGGAGAAGCTGTCGCTTAGTGAAGAAAGATATGGGAAAGGTCGGAGATTCTATGTTCAAACGCTAGACGACTTGGCACTTTCACCGGACGTGCAAGAGAAACTGGTACGAGAGAATAGTCCCGAAGGAGTTTTCAAGATTAAAGGAAGTGATCATTGTCCTTTCTTCTCTAAACCTCAGTCTCTTCAGAAGATCCTTCTTGAGATCGCTCAGATTCCTTAAAAGAGAAAAATAAATCTTGAATTCATGTATAATACTTGCAATTTTTTCCACTTCGTATAAACTTTTGTATATTTACGTTAATAGCAAGCAAGATTCTCGGTAATGCCCACTCGAAATGATACTTTTCATAGTCCAAAGAAGTGTTCCTTACTCGAAATGCTTTCTTCATATTTAATTTGCTTACTAATAAAAAACCTAACACAATTACATTAATCAGTTATCAGTCACGTTTATTGCATTGTATTCTTTGTAACTTTGTGTTTATTTGAGTTTACATGTCTTTTTTGTTGAACTCTATTGATGAATTCTCACTCCATTCACATCTCTTTTCTACGTTTGCATATACTTTTAACACTCACCAAATATTCAATTTTCGATAACATTCAAACTTTTTTAACTTTTAAATGTTTTCTAGAAAATTCGTTGGAATCATTGATACCAACTCTTAATTTAAGGGTATGAATCAGACCTATGATTTGATTGTGGATAGATCACCGCCACTATACAGAAGCGCGATGAGATGAAGTCATAACTCACATAAATAGCATGACATTTCTTAATTTACTCGAAAATTATGATAACTAGATGAGTACCCGCGTGATGTGCAAATTTTTTTTCACAATATAATTTATTAAAAAGTGTAGTTACAATTTATTTTATCGTATATTTAAAAAAATTTAAAGGATATTGTGTATTTGAATAAACATACAATACATATTTACATATTATGTGGATATTAACTATATATATGATCAATGGTTTATTGATAAGAAAAAGTAAAATATATTATACCTTGTATATATAAAATATATTAAATGGATATAGTGCAAATCAGAGAAATACTATATAACAAAAATTAACTAGAGAAACTTTTCAAGCACAACATAGATAGAGACGACTCCTTTTAACACATCGTACTTGTTCACGGCGTAGATTTACACAGTAGCAATGATGTGGTTTTATATTTTTATGAACTTAAATAATTAATTTATAATTCTAATTTATACAGCTGCATTAAATATTTTATAAATATATATATATATATATATATATATTATGACTTTGATATCTTATTAATTTTAAAATTATTAATGGATCAAGTTTGAATAAAATAAATTAATAAATAATTATTAATTTATAAAGAAATTGTTTTAAAGTTTATTATAATATTGTACAAATTTTTCTTCTAACTTTTTAAGGTTCAAAATATAAAATAATTGTTATTTTTATATTTGTATAATTGTTTTTATAATAATATCTTATAATATTAATTAAAAATAAGAAAACACTCTTAAATATAAAACATAAATTTTGTTAATAATTTTTAAAAACTACCACAAAATAGATATTCAATAATTATTTTTGGATATTATGTATATATTATTATTAAAATATATTATCTAATTCTTCATATTTTTCATATTCTTTTAGGATTATGATTAATAATATATTAAATTTATGTATTAACTGTATTTTACATAATTTGTATCATTAAATTTTAAAAAATGACACATGTCATTTCTACAATAAACCAAAATGATGATGTGGCACTCATATGGAGAGAGTTGGCCATCTTTTATAGTATAGATTTGATCGATTTCATAATATTTCTCAATATTTATAGAAAGTTTTGATTGTATGAAACAATATATATACGTTACCTCATTATATTATGTACATAAAACTACATCCAATTAAATTAATAAATTTTCCATGGGACATGACCTAATTATTTTTTTTTAAAAATAAAAACTTAATAAAATCAGTAAAATTTAGAAAAACCTGAATCAAATAGAGAACAGAATAATAATAATAATGCCAGTAAAATCGTTATTTTCGACACCAAAAATCACAATGACTAATTTTTTGAGAATTACCCTATTAATTATAGTTTGATTTATGCTATGCAGTTTTTCCTTACTATATATATTATTAGGTGATTGTCGGTATGCTTGTGCAGATATAATTTTTTTTATAAATATAATTAATTATAATATTTAAGTATTATTTAATTTTTAATACATTTTTAAACGCTATGTTTGTATATATGCAGTTTTAATGTTTACTAATAATAATTACATAAATATTTCATATTATTTTTTGCTTTTTGAATCTGATTTATTTTAAAACTCTTTATTTTTTTTTGAACTTTTACAGTGATATATAATTGCAAATGTAAAATTTATATTTTTGTAATAATATTTTATGCAATCTATGATGAATATATGTAAAAAATTAAAGTCATAATAATTATTATTTTTGTTAATTTAAAATTATTAATTTTATTGTTATAATTTAATATATTTATGTTTTAATTTTATAATTTATTTATTTTTTACTCATTCAATCAAAATATTTTGTTTATTTTAAAATTTAACATGTCACATATTCATATCAACAATAAAAAATATTAACTTTTGCTTCTTTATGACACAATAAATGTTTTAATTAAAAGAAATTTCAAATAATAGTTAAGATTATAGTTATACTTATATCCCCTATATATTAAAAGAGAAGCATTTTTAAAGAATAATCTTATTTTTGTAAGTATCTAAAGTGGTGTCATTATGCTGATGTGTCAACCCCACATTCATTCTCAGCTAATTTTTTTAAAAAGACTTAAATTACTAGACTAATTATATGATATGCCATTGTATATTTTAAGATCCATAAATATGTTATGTTTTATTTTTTAAATGAATTCAAATACAATAATATTAGAATTAATAATTTAATAAAATAAAATTTGTTTAATGGTAACTATAATATACACGATTTTTATTATATAATATTTTTAAAATATTATCCATATATATTTTATTATAAATTTATAATATAATATATAATATTTTTCAATTTTTACTAATTTTATCATTCATAGCAAAATAGTATATAACACTTTTAATGTTTACTACTTTTAAAAAAAATATGTTTATTGATTATTGATAAAAAAAATGTTCTTATAAAAATAACTGAAAAATTAAAAATAATATTTTATTTTCCTCAAATTCATAACAAAATATATAACACTTTACTAGTGTTTACTCCTTTAATTAGAAAATATGTTTATTAAAAATATTCTTATAAATACAACAGAATAATTAAAAATAATATTTTATTTTTTCTCAAAAATCAATTAGAACAAATAAAAAAAAGCCATAATGATTTTATTCACATATTGTTGTAATTATAGCATGCATGAAAATAATTGTGAAAACATATATAATACTTCAAGCTAAATATTTTAAGTTTATATCTTTTAACAATTCATAATAATATATACAAAAATATTTATCAAAAATATATGTTATTTTCGACAGTAACATCGATTAAAAGAAAAAAAGTCAAAATGACGAATTTTCAAAATTATTATGATATATATTATTAATATTCAGATTTACTATATAAGGAAATATGATATATTGTATTATGGTTTAATTTATACTAGGTAATGACCTGCACCCTATGCATGATAAAATAATAATTATTTATTTAATATAGTATGATTTTAAAATCATATAACGAAATACAATTGATTTTATATGAGTTATTTATAACATTATGTTGTAATATTGACAATATTTTTTTATTTTTATTTTATAAAATATAGGGTAATTTAATTCTAATGTAAATTAGTTTAATAATTAAATATATATGCGCAATCTGGATAGAAATACGAAGTCGTTCTTTATATTTTCTATAACTCATGTTTAATAACATGATCTTAAAATTCAAAAAAAAATAGATAAAGTATATTTTGATTAAATTATTAATTATCTAATGTGTTATGATAATAATAAAAAAAAATTGCTACTTCCTCTGCTTCATAATATTAATTTTTGTAAGGCTTTGTTTTGTTTCACAATATAGTTGTTTTTTTTTTTTTTTTTTACTACTTCCTATGAATACTATGTGACCGATTATATTTTTCAGTTTTTCATAATTAGTTGAATTATATTTATATACTAAATGATTACTTTTTTTTTAAAAGAAAAGTTGCTTTTTAATATTTATGCTTTGATGCAAAACAACTTATATTTTGAAATAGAGAGTATTAAAATTGTAACATAAAATTTGATTATAAGATTTTATAATCGATTTTAATATTTTTTATACGAATATAAATGCATATTTAGATTAATCCGCAAAAACTATAGTCATAAGAATTTTAACTTTTAAGAAAAAAGAAAATTACTGTGAAATTTATTTTAAATACTAAATATATTATTAATATTCAGATTTATATATTTATATACAATTATTTTATGGTATTTATTAATTTATGATATTAATGAAACCATATATTTTTATATATTTTCTATAAAAACAAATGTTATCTTATCGATTTGTATCATATTTTGAACAAATCCAATTTGGGACTAGGAAAATTTATTAATTTATTTAACTAATAATATGTAATAAATAAGTAACAAACTATTTAACTAATAATATTTAATTATTTAAGAGTCAAAAGTAATCAATTATATACATAAATATTGTATATCCAAATTTTGAATATTGGTGAATATAATGAATCATATCATCAATTACAGGATATAGAAAATCTGCATGGTAATTTCATATTTTTACCTAGCTATATCATGTGTTATGCATGCTACTTAATTTTTAAATTAATTTAAATTAATTTACATTACAATTAAATTATCTTATATTTCATAAAAAATAAATAAATAACTATATTATCAATATTATAGTATAATATTATATAAAATTTATATTAATTTAATTATATTATATTATATTATATAATTTTAAAATTATATTAAATCTAAATAAATAATAATTATTTCACCCTGTATACGGATTATTACCTAGTAAATCATTAAAGTGATATCAACCATTTTACTTTCAGTCTCCCGATATTTAGTAGATTTCAATTCTTTTATCATCTTTTCTCCATCGTGATACACAAAAACACTACGGGTGTAAATGGTAACCAATTGGGAGGAAACTTTTCTTTTGTTATCTGCTTTAGTTTTTTTTTTTTTTTTTTTTTTCAGTGTTAAAGTTTCTGCTGCTAGTTGGAAATTTTACTCTATTATGATGGGTACAAAGAGATGTGAATGAAGTGAGAGTTGATCAATATAGTTCAAAACTACAAAGAAAAAAAGAGGTGTAAACTAATAAACAAAAATTACAAAGAATTTACAATACAATAACGTGACTTAAGTGTTATTAT